GTTCACGGACATCCTGTATAATCTTTACCTACTGTATGTGCATTTTAAAAGTATATTTTAATACTTTACAAATATGTAACATTTTAACGAGGTTCTTAGAAATTCTTATAGCGTACAAATACTTACAAATTACCTACTAATTTTTGGTGAAAAGTTAATTTGGAAATTCAATTGAAATGGGGCACCCAAGAACCCCCTATTTCTTTAAATATACATAATACAGGATGGCCCACGACGTTTTAGAGAGGGAAATGTTTCGAACACAGTTAACGCTATGGAAATACAGTTTGTATGGAATTGTACTAACATCCACAGTTGAGGATGTTTCTCTGTGATCAAATTAGATTTTCACTTTTTTGTTTTGAACATGGGCCTGAAAGTAATAGATAATTTATATTCAACTGTCAATGTTTTTGCTATTTTTCAAGAAAACCTCTACAAACATGGTACCGTTGAATTTTTCTTGTCACAAGGTTTTTGAAAATGTAATAATATACAGAGTGTCTCATTTATAATTCTAAAGTCGGTGTCACGTGATTAAAAATAAAAAAGTGAAAATCTGAATAAATCACAGGAAAATAAAATTTTTTTACTGGTCCTGGAATTCCCTTAAAACATTCCCACCTGCTTACAAGTTTCATAGCGTGGACAAAATCAATGCATATGAAGACTGTTACTTCAGGTTTGCTGTTAGTTTTAAGCGCTGTAAAGCACTTTTCCATATGCGTTGATAAGTTGACCTCACCGGCAATACATCTAGCAATTGCACCAAGCAGTCCTAAGAAATTACCGCTAATTACTGTACTTGGGGCTGATCCAGCTATCATCCACTCACTTAACCAAAAATTTATTTGGTTAATATTGTGGCTCTCTGATAGCATTTGTCCAACTGATATCTCTCCGTTTTCTGTTTTTAAATGAATTACACATTGATATAAAAAGATATGACTGGATTTGATATTGTTTGGCTTTCTAGCTTTTTACACAAGGACCCCGTTGCGTCATTAATACACTACGCTCCCTGTTTTTTACCATGGCTGTGCAAGTGCATTGCCAGATTCGCAACAGGGAGGGGATAGAGCTTGTCCAGACAAATGAAGAACGGGGTGAGGAAAAGGAAGTAACTAAGTTTGTTACGTTTGTTTCTAATTTTTCCACCACGTAAAATCTACTGTCTTTAAATTTTTTACTAACTTTTCCACACTGTGAAATTGATGTTTGTTTAGCTTGAATTGTGTCTTTTTTGTGGTTATATTATGTAGTTATAGTAAATATAAAATATGTAAAAGTTAAAAGTATTGTTTTTATGACATTACAGTAATATGACTTTACAGTAATATTTAAACGAATCTTTATATTATTCTGTATAAATTTTGTATTTAAATTTTTTTTCTAAACCCAAAAATAAAGAAGTTTACTGGGAAAGGGGGGAAATTATAATTAATCAGCCTGTACATTTATTAACACACATAAACGACAATTTAAAAGTAAAAATCAATGGGTCCGATGATTTTTTTGAAATATTTTTCTCAGCAGTTTTATATAATTTATTCGTTACTTCCGAGAAGCTCTGTATAAAATCTTAACGAGCTACTTACAAATTCTAGTTTATGGCTTACAAATACTTACAAATAACTTACTAATTCTTGATGATAAGAACATTCGCAAATTCAACAGAAGTGAGGCTCCCGAGAAGTTAGACTCGATTTCTTAACATATAGATAACATCTTAATGAGCTACTTACAAATTCTAGTTTATGGCTTACAAATACTTACAAATGACTTACTAATTCTTGATGATAAGAAAATTCGCAAATTCGACAGAAGTGAGGCTCCCGAGAAGTTAGCCTCGATTTCTTAACATATATATAACATCTTAACGAGCTACTTACAATTCTGGTTTATGGCTTACAAATACTTACAAATTTCTTATCTACTAATTACTGGCGAAATAAAATATACAAATTGAACATTAAGCGCGGTTATCTTCACGGAGCCGGGTCTTATGCAATGTTACGAATGGTTTTCATGATTTAAATAAAAGTGGTCGCCAGTCAATTGAAGGACAAGGAAAACCTTCAATTTCAACTGATGACCCCACGTTCTGAGCGTCAAAGATATGGTGCGTGTAAATCGCCGATTGACTGTTCGACAAATTGTAGAAGAAGTTAGCATTTCAATTGGGTAATACTATGAAATTCAACATCGAGTTGCAGCAAAATGTGATCCTCGTTTGATGACGAACAACAGAAAGAAAGTCATATGGACATTTGTCGGTAATTCCTTGAACAATCCAATGATGATGAAACATTAATTCAAAGGAGCATAACGGGAGACAAAAACTGGGTTTACAGTTACGACATTGAGACAAAAGTTCAATCATCACAATGGATTGGCAATCTCAATCCGATGTTGTGATCCTCGCTGTTTTTTTTTCGACTTTCATGGAATTGTGAATTTTGAATTTTTGCCTCAAGGAGAAACAGTGAAGCGTCTGTACTATCAAAAATCCGTAAAAAAGACCAGTGTTGTGGCGAGACAACTCAAGGCACCCAGGCACTCAGTCTTGTCAATTCTTCAGTTTTGTGTCAAAAATCACATTACTGTCCTCCCTCACTCTCCTTACTCACCAGACCTGGCTCCTTGAGATTTTTTCTTATTTCCCAAATTAAAATCAGTGCTGAAAGGATGTCGCTTTCAGACTATTGACGACATCAAAGCAAATTCGTCACAAACTTTAAAGGACAATTCAAATGCAGCTATCCAGGACTGCTCCGCGAAATGGAAACACCGCTTGAAAAAGTGTGTGAATAGGGGAGGGGAGTACTTTGAAGAAGACAAGGACCAATAATGTATAAAATTAATAATAAAATTAAAAAATAAAGTAATTTTCAGGGTCGTATGAGTTTCTGCACTATTGACAAAATATTGTCCTATTGTTTGAAGATATTTATTTGTCGCATATTTTATTTTTTCTTTTTATTGGGTATTTAGCCACCTATGAAAAAAAATTAATGCATAAACCCTTTCGCCAAAGAATCGTTCAAATCTAAGACCAAAAACGCTAAACAAATAAGAAATATACAGTATACATAAAGTGCTTTTTTAATTTACCTACTCTGCTCATTTAGGAAATGCTACTATTTTTGCGAAGGTGGCATATAAGTACCTACAGTACAAAACAAAAGATAACAGTCCTGAATCTTAGCACCTGAATTATCTAATTTGTTATGACTAGGCTTAGTGCACGTGCAGAGTCTAACAGAGCCGGCGGGCGCGCGGATCGGTGGCCTTCACAGCTGACTCGCGTTTTGAGCTGTTCAGTTATTTACGGAACATTGTAAATTGTATTCGACGTGTGTATTTAAATAACTATTTATAAATAGTAACATAATTTACATTAACAACTATCAGTTGAGGGGAAAAATGAATTAAAATGCCAAAAGAGAAAAGAAATTATTTTAAATATGGTTTGACAGTGATCCCGAAGGTTACAGGGACATTTTTGAAAGAAATGACCTGTTTTGTACTGTGTGTAAACGCAGTATAAATTTTTATTACAAAAGTAAAGTAGACAAGACATTTGAAGACCCATGCCTCGTCCAGCGCTGAAGACTGTGTTTTTCTATGAACTGACAGACGCCTTTCCTTCAAGCAATATTCCATTAAACAAACTAGAGAACCTCAAGTTTCGTAATTCCGTAAATTAAAATCACATGGACTATCCCTAAATGAACAAACAATTTGATATAATGGATGATGTACAAAAAATACATACAATGCCAATAATATACGCCCAGTGAGTAGTACGATAAAAGAAACACTGGAAAGTGTGTTGGAAAAAAATCCAGGGTACACCATTTTGGAAAACATATGTAAAGTTTTATCTGGTACATATAAGGAGTTACCAGTAAATATATTAATGTATACGAGTAATTCACGCCTCAACAATTTCTCATACTGTCTGTTGTCAACAGTAGACGTTGAACGGTCATTTTCCCTACGCAAGTTCATATTAAAGAAAACTTGTCTATAGGTATTTTATCCTCTACTTAGCCTTGTTCTTTGGTAATAGTACTATGTTGCGACATATTTTCTGTAAACATATTAATATTTTCATTCCTAATCTGACTACAGTCCTGTTAAACTCCACGCCGCACTAAGCCTAATTATAACCATGTTAAAATTGAGTAACTTATTATTAGGGAATATCCTGTACCAAATTGGAATAGATTTGGTGAAAATAGTTTCTTTATCGAAATCAAACTTTGTACCTCACTAACAAAGCGTTCGTAAGAAGTATTTTCCTTATATTTTCAAGTGCTCTTTACTTTTCACAATGTATGTTAATATATTTAACGGTTAAAATTAAATTATTTTCAATTTTCTAGTGCTCCACTAACTTCGCACACAAATTGAAGCTCGTTCATCATTCCTCTAGATAAACACATAAGAGGATTTTAAAAGTTTTTCTATGCAAATATTTCCAATTCGCACTTATCTCTTCATTTCTTTCGATGTCTTCAAAACTTTTGTTTGTTATCCTTCGGTACCTTAAAATATGCATTCGATTTCCAAATCTTATCATACATAACTCACATCCATGAGCTTTCTGAGATTTGGTTAACTTTAGTTCTTAATAAATTAAAGACGACTAGAGTAGCAGTTTGATGTATAAAATGGTATATTTACTAAGCCGTAATATATATACTGATAAAAAAATAAATCGTAAATATAAAATAAAGCTAAGCAATAGCTTAATAAATAGTTAAAGGGTGAACCTATTTTAAAAGTCGTAAAATGAAAGTAATTGTAAAGTCTTTTTGCTTTAATTTAATAACTTCGTCGAGTCCGTAAAATAATTGTTACTTGTTGTTCTTATTCCAGACATCGTTACCCTTCACATCCTCTTGGTTTTTGGTCGAGTGTTCGTTTGCTTAGCGTTCCGAGGTCCGAGAATGTAAAGGCGGCTGGAATTTTCCGGGTACATTGCAAATTTTCTATTGCGCATTTTCTTCGTCGTTTTCGTCTACGTCCATGGGCACCGGATTGGGATTTGGAACGGGCGCTGGAGGCAGTGCAGGGTTTAGGTTTGCGTTAAGCTGCTGTAGAATATTAAGCTGCTGCATATTAGCATTAACAGCAGCGGCAATATTGTCCTGCTGGTTGTTGGCGTTATTAGGCATCCCAGCCATTGTCCGCTGATTCTCTAGAGCTATCATTTTTTGTCGCTTTTCTTCCATCAGGCGGTCCCTAAAACAAGAAGAGTGAGCTGTTTTAACTAGAAATTAAACAATAATACAGCGTCAAGATCATCCGCCAGTGGGTGTTAAACAATATGAGTAAAACTCATTCAAAAAGTGAGAAAAAAGTTCATATAAGCATATACTGGAAATGTTTAAAAGATATAGTTATTTATGATACAAGTGTTAAAAGTGACATTTTATTTTGTGAGTGAAACAACCTCACGAACAAAATAAAATCACTTTTAACAAATGTATCGTAAAATATTTTTTGTAAAACTCTTTTTAAATAAAAATGCCGTCTCTGGGTTTGAACTCCCGATCTATTGCTTACATGTCGGATGTGTTGCCACTAAACCATGCGTTCGTTCCAATTGTATGTGACAATAAAGTGTACATATCTAGTCAGATACTCGATAAAGGGTAAATAAAACGGTTGTAAATTGTTCAGTGTTTATTAATAACTGAAGCTGTCCTTAAATATTATAAATTTTGTGGCTGCAAAAATGGATTTTGAAAAAAATACGGGAGATAACAGTAATTTTATTATTCCATCAGATGTTGAAGAAGCCGCAAATAGGGCAGCTTTAGATCTGTTACCTCAGAAATCGCGCCAACAATATGATATAGCATATAAAAGACTTATTGAATGGTGTAAAATGAAGAAAATAGCAGACAATACTGAAAATATACTTTTGGATTACTTCGCAGAAAATATAAGTTATGTAAGGCGTCAACACTGTGATTTAATTTCTCTATGATAAAAGCTAGTTTGAAAATAAAGAACAACGTGGATATAAGCAAGTATTACAAGCTAATAGCGTTTTTAAAAAGAAAAAGTGTAGGATATCGGCCAAAAAAATCGAAAATATTTACTAGTGAATAAATTAATACATTTTTGTATGAAGTTCCAGACACCAACTATCTAATGACTTGTATCAATTTTTGGTTTATTTGGAGCATGCCGTCGCCATCGTGAAGAGCTTTGTAAATTAACATTGGATGATATTGAACAGTTAGAAAACTCATTATTGATTCATATTTTGGAGACTAAAAAAGCCAACGTTCGTCGTACTTTTGTATCGTTGGAAGCTACATGAATTCACAGCCAGACAAAAAAAGAAAAGTAGTCTGTACTTTTCATGCGACATATGTTATCAGTAGTATTTTTGCCTCCTGATCACGAATCCTGTGTCAGAATTGAGCTGTCACATCACAGGAATTTCCTAACCTCAAAGAACAGGTCAAAAATAGCAAAAATTCACGAAAAAGTGCTAGGAAAACTAGAAACATTTTTTTTTTCTATATTCAAATGTTCATTTATATAGTTAAGAACCCGCCGAACTACTACCCTGGTATATGAAATTTAACATACAAATTTGGTATACCTACCATCTTTATATTTTTCTGTTAAAGATAGGAAAACGGGTGGCGTTTTACATAAAAAAAAAGAACATTATGGGGGGAAATGCGATGTTAGAGCAAAATAGCGTAATGTTAAAAAGAGAGACAAGATATCTTACACTATTCACTTCACCAACTAGTAATATAAAAAATCAATAGTGTAAATATTTTGAATTTTCAAGACGATAACAAAAGGTAAATTTCCAGACTTCTAATGATCCTGGTTTATTAAAAATTTCAGTTGCAACAAAATTCTGATAGATTTCTATGTGACATAAACAGTTCTTTTTTTTTTCGATTCCACTATGCGATAAATTTAAATTTAAGGAAATAAAATAATGTCTCGAAAATCACGTTTTACTAAGAAAATGATAACCTATTTGTTTTTGAAATATAATACGAATCAAATGTACTGATCAAATCTCTAAATATGTACCTACTCATTCTCCGTCGCTTTTTTCTAAATTACGTTAACGACAAATGTACTGTTCAACCTGTTGGGATAAAAACTTTTGGGAAGATTCCTACTAAGCAGTTTACTGGTCATGTTTCCGAAGATCTTCGGTATCTTCGTTAGCATATTCGGAAGCTAATTTAATTACAATAAAACGACATGGTGGATGGAAATCATCAGCCGTTGCTGAGGGCTACATTGAGGATTCTATTACATATAAAAATAAAATTGTTAAGAGAATTCTTCAACCTTGACATTAGCAATTACTTCTCAGAGAATTAACATATAAGTAACTGCTCGGGTTGTAATATTATATTGATGTTTCTAACTAAATAATGTGTAACAGTTTGAATAAATATGTATTAATGTTTCTAAATATATTCTTTCTAAATTTATCAATACAGCTTTCTATTATCTTGAGAAGAATGTATATTGCTAAATAGTATATGTGTTCGGATTTGGAAAGTTTTTGCACTACCAAATTAAAAATTGTCAGTTTATGATTTTTAGCATAATAAATATTAATTTCCGACTAATTTTGGTGTAGATTATAGGGAGCACTAGTTAGACTCTATGGCTTAAATAAATCTGGGTAATCTTTTTTCCTGGTATAATTGTTGCAAAAATAAGTGATAATTCTGAAAGAAGATTTTCTAGCTAAACTCTTTTTTAATTTAAATATCTATTATTGGTTTCCAGACATTTTCTCAATGGACAGCTGTTATTTTCTATTATTAGGGACGATTTTTTCCAGCTTCCAATTAAATTTATTTGTCAATTAAGTCTATGTTCGCATAAGTATGAGGAAAGATATGATGAGACAGAAATAGATTTTATTGATAATTAAATTTATTAGGAGGTGAAAAAATGAGTTCTCAGGCTTGTCTATGTTACAACGAATACGAATATATTTATACGAAATGGTAAAAATAGTGTTCGAAACGAAATTTTGTTGCTCATATAAGAATGAAATATTTCAGAAAGATTCTAGGAAATTTTATTTTTTGTTGTCGGTATGTATTGTCCTGTGTCATAAGTTACCTCAAAAATATTACACTACAACTTGCATTCTGACAATTCGCTTTAAATAATGTCTACATTTTTTTTATTGTTGTTAACTTGGTTGTAAAATGAATAATAGTAAACCCGATAGTTTGTGCAATAATTCCTTATTTTCAAGTTCAAGGAATAGTATGACCCACGAATTATATGTCAATTCTGAGTTTCTGAGAAAAAAGTTTAATTTATTTCAACTTTTTCCCATCATTTTAACGTGAATCAGCATTTATTCTATACTTTTATTTTGTTAATTCTTAAAATAGGATACCTGCGTAGATTAATGAAACGTGAGGTAGTCACAGATACGTCAACCAGTGACGGAGGTATGATGGGTTTCTATCTTTAGAACCCCACAAATTCGACGTCACTGGATATTCGATTTCTACTTTTCATTCCTAGTAATATCTGAGAAAAAAGAACTCTTTTATGAAATTATGTATTAAAAAAGGCCAATTCTCGAGTTATTACTTTTTTCATTTATATTATCGTTATGAAGCAATTTAATTTAATTTAAAATAACTCTAGGACTACTCCCTCAGAAGAAGTTTTATTATAAATGCGTTTTTAAATAAAATATATTAATGAACATTGCATTTACTGTTACTATATATATATGTTACTATGCACCTTAGCAAAATACAATATATCTACAGCAACGTTTTTTTTTTTTGTTAATAAAAACATTTAGTTCAATTGGCGAAGTTTCGGGGCTATTATAATCTTTCTTTGAGCAGTACTTCTTCGCCAGTGAAACTTTCTCAAAATTAGCATTGTCTAAAAGAGCAAAGTAAGTAAAAAAAGAGCCCTTATCTCTTTTAGATAGGACGCATCGTTTCCGAGAAAACTGCTAATGTATTTCTAATATCTTTCTTGACGCTGTGCACATAACAACTAAAATGACACATTGAAAATACGAAATTCGAAAAGCCGGAAAGCAATATCCTATAAATTTTGAATAGAAACTCTTTTATTTGCTGTTCACATAAATGAATTATTACTGTTACTTTTATATTGTCCATATTTCATCAACTGCTCCAAAACAGTGGAAAATTTGGTAAAAACCCTATCGATTGTAGAAAATCTAGACCTGTTTCCACGCCCACGACTTCATCAACTGCTCCAAAACACTGGAAAATTTGGTAAAAACCCTATCGATTGTAGAAAATCTAGACCTGTTTCCACGCCCACGACTTCATTAACTGCTCCAAAACACTGGAAAATTTGGTAAAAAAACCTATCGATTGGAGAAAATCTAAACCTGTCTCCATCCCCAAGATAGAAGAGCACGTTTTGGAAGAAATGTGAGAACGTGTTGATATCTACGATAGTCGTATTGCAGCTCATGTAACTATGCGCCATTCTCTTGTTTAGAAAACCTTTAGAGAACAGTTATACTATCATATCCAACATGTACAAGCATTCAATCTTTCGAACTGTGATGCCAAATTAATGTTTTGTATAACGATTTTGGGAGAATGAGCTAATAGGGCAACGCTCATCCTTTTCATAATGGCCATGTTTAAGCTGACCAGAATCCGTTTTTAAAGCCAAACGTCAATAAAGTTTTCATTTAAATGTTCTGGATTGGCATTCTCGGAGATGAATTATGAAAATTTTTGCCTAATTAACAAATTAGACAATGAAGCGTTTAATTATACGGTTCTGCATATAGCATATTTTTTAAAAGTGGTGCTATCGCCATTACTTAGAGATGTACCACTGGATGTCAACAGTCTAATTTCTCATCGTCAGTTAGATAATATCTAAAGTAAGCGTTGTGGGTCCATCCGCTAGCCACCTAGATCACCAGACCTGAATATATTGAATTTCTTTCTTTGGGGTTGCCTTAATAGCTTTTGTATGCAGAACTACTTGAAAACTTGCAAGACCTATAATAGCGAATAGAAGAAGGTTGTAACACAATTACAACCCAACCTGGGATATTTGAAAGGGCACGTAATTAATTTTTAAGAATAGGGCCTGCATTAATTAACAAGGAAGACCATTTGGACATCGTATCTGATTGTGGACTTTTCATGAACTAAAAATGTTAATCTTCACAATTTCGTTTACCATACGTTTCTATTACTTATAACACCCTATATGAAATAAATTTATAACAATATTTTTCTTTCATCTCAAAGTGATTTATCGAGAATTTTTGTTACCATCCGTAAATAAGGGGTTTAGAATCACATTTTGCAATTTTGCCCTATAGACAATGTTTAAAATATATTCTTCCGTGTTCTACCTGTTCGTTTGGGCCATGATTTTCAAGGGCGAGGAAAACGACTGAGATAAATACGTCCTACTTTATCAGAATTACAGCGAGTTTCCTCATAAATTAATAACAAATTGTGATACTCATACTAAACATTGAAAAAAACAAAGAGAAAAACCAACAGTAGTCTGCATAAACACTTTCAACAGGCGACAGGCACGAATTTCAAATGCCAACTGATCGTTCTACTAGCGGCGTACTAGTCATACCATATTATTCCGTCCTTCTGTTGACGTGTTACATTGCACAAAATTATGTTGAGGTTCCTTAATTAACGAACCTTTTGTACATGATCTTGGAAGCTTTGAAGATTGTTGGGATTGGAACCCATATCATATGCTTATAACATGTCACATGGTTATTTAATTATATCAGCCAAACTTCTAACATTCGGAATATACCAGATTGAAATCAGAAAATTTCCTTATAATATGATTCAGTAAAGGTTACTAATAACATTACCTGTGCTTGTGGATGTAATCCTGAACATTCGGTAACCCATCAATAACACAAGCTGACAGGGCTGACCGGTATATGTTCATATCTGTAGCCTCATACCACTCGTTGGTCTTCTCGTCATAGCACTCTACGTGGTATATGGTTGTTACTCCTGCAAAATTATAAATTTGTACTGTGTTGATTATAAATGTGAATGTGATTTTTAATATATTTGATTCATTATGACTACTCTTATACTATTATTTCTATAAACTTTAGGATAATTTGTTTATATTGTTGTTGTTGTTGCTTGGCCTTAATTAGTGCAGGTTATTTAAAATTAATGAAGTTCGTATAAAATTAATTAAGTAGACTGACTTTTATTACATATAAAAACGCTAATATTGAAAACACTTTACCGTTAAATCCTCCAATGGCAAAGATCATGTCGTCTATCACTTCTATCGCGAAGTTACTCCTCGGATTATACATGTCCGGAATCGGTGCCCAAGTGTTCGTCATTGGATTAAACTTCTCACCGCTGCACATTCGGGAGATGCCATTGAACCCACCGATGACATACACTTGACCATGATAGGCAATACAGGACACGCCCGATCTCCTGGATCTCATCGGGCTTATCAGGGACCACTGATTTATTTCCGGGTCGTACACTTCCGCAGAATGCATGCACTCTTGGCCGTTGAACCCTCCAGTTATGTAAATCTTCCCTATGGAGTTACATAATTTACTTTTACATTGAACTAGAAATATCTGAACAATGTGATAAAATTGGTAAGAATCTTCGTGGTTTAGAAAAACTGTAGTAATAACATAATATCTAGTTTTAGAAAATAATAGTGCTTCGGATATGAACACGAAATCCTGATTCTACCTACATCATGAGTAAATAACACTTAGCAATATGTGAAAAATTAAATAAATTGGTCTCTGTCTCTGTCCGTATAATACAGTCTGGCTTCCTGGATTATAGGGGAAAGTTGTGTTAAATTTTCCATCACTTCATCTTGTAGAAAGAGAAACGACAGTTGCCACCATACAACGTCAGAATTAATAAAGATTAGAATGAGGGAAAAATTCACCTTCCATGAGCCTTTCGTGATTCCAATAGAGAATCGAGGAGGATGGAAGTATCGATACAAAGCTTTGAAAAAATAGAACATGGTGTGTTTTACGGAAAGGTCCAAAACAAACTCTAAAAGGAGTTGGATTAGTTCGACCACGACCCAACCACAGAAGCTATTCTGGATTCTGGATGCCTCTTCTGCAGCATTTCAGTCATAAGTTTTTGCTACAAATGCGTGTTTGAAAGACACATAATCTTATCTATATATTCTGAAATAGTCAACCTGCAACAAAAATCCTCAAGTAACACCTACCACTGCGTTAATGTAATCGTAACTACCAAAGCGACTATAAAGTGGTTGCATCATTGATCTGTACTACCTAGAAACCAAATTATTACGTTTATCAACAATATAAAATTAGAAATAATGTATCAGTGACCTTTCTTTCAAATTTTATTATCATTTGCATAAAACATGTGTGTATATTAGTTTCATAATAATAAAAAAAAAAGTTAAAAATGATTTACGCAAATAGAGTACTGACCACTTTTTCCAAAGAAATAATTGACTTGTTTTTAAATACGTAAAAAGACCTTCTTACTTGTCAAAATGTCGAAAGCATAATGAAATCACAAATGAAAAGATGAAAAGTCAATAAAAATGGGTCTGGCGATGACTTTCACAGACTTTTAATTACACCACTAGAAAGAGCGGAAAAAAATAAGTTCATTAGATAGAAAAACATTCCGGTAACTGCTTTTTAAGTGCCACAATCCATTTGTTAAGTAAGAATTTTGAGAAGCGGAGCGCAGCATGGGCAATATGATGTCACAGCGCTCCCCTCTCCTGGCTATCGCTCAGCCGCGTGCGCCGCCGCGCGGATCACTCTGTCTTTAACGCACGGTTACTTGGTCATTTCTTCGCCGAAACCATTAAAAAAAAATTCAGCTTATAAAGGAAGTCTTCTACTTTACAACTAGCCCAAGTTTATTACAAAATATTAAATAGAACAGCCAGAATACCGTTTTTAAGAAAAAAGATTATCAGATTTTAATAAAAACCCGTCGAGATAAGGACTCTAGTTACCGTTTTTTTGTTTTTTTGTTAATAACTTTTTTATTTTGCAACCTAAAAATGAGAAATTTACGCAAACGCGAGACAATGTAATTACCTTTCGATCCTTTTTTACCGAATTTCTATATTTTAACTATACGCGCTCGCATTTTCGACTTTATAATTTTGCAGTAGACCGCCATTTTGAAATTGTGGATCCGGATTGCGGGTATTTGTTGAGCACCCGAACAGTTATCTTTTCCTGTAGTTTCATCCATTTTCACTCAAATTCGTTCTTTTTATTTATTGCTTAAAACTTTGCACATTTTTTTCTTCACCGCTAATTTTGCAATGTAAAAAAAATTTGCAAGCTTTCGCAAAAGTCTATCCGATAAGTATACCTCATGTCGACTAGAGGCTTATTTTCGGAGATATAAGCGAAAAACTGAAACAATGAAATTATTTTTTTCTTTTGCTATAAACAATATTACGCTCGGCCTCTATAAAAACATAAATTTAAGCCTATTTCGTGTATTTTTTACTTAATTTTAAGCCCATAAAATTTGAGTTAGGCCCGATTTTTGAAAAAAAAAACCTAATTCACCCGGACTAATGATAAGACAGATAACTAGAAAAGAACTATTGAAATGCTGAATATGGGCATGGCCAGGCTTTTTGACAAAACACTGTTGATTGATGAAGCATCTTTGCAAGATATCCAATATGCAACTGGGGTTGCAACTGGGAAGAAGAGTCTGCACGTCCCAGCAACAGAAAATAAATCTGCTTATAAATAAACAGACATTGGGAAGCACAATAACCCAACATTAGGTAGGACGCAGTGTTTCAGGACCAAGGCACATAATAAGTAGAAATACATCCAGAGGTCTTTACGTGGGAATATTATTATAATAGTAAATTTAAATCTTAAAATATTTCTAATGTAGGACTACGCAGATAGAATTTTTAACAAAATCTTCTAACGTTCATTATCTTGACCTTTCTTTAGGTTTATTAGAACCTCCTCTTTATTTGTTACTCTTTCTATGCTTAAACTGTGTAAATTGTTTTAAATCATCTGTATGATTGATAATATTAAAATAATCCAATCATTCTATATAATATATATTTGATGTGGAAATCTTAACCCCCTTGTACATTTTTTTGTGTTGTATTAGTAAATTAACAAAGTACAGCCCAGATAAATACTCGAAAAAGTTTTAATTAAAATCATTAGTCGAATTATTTAATGCAGAGTATTTAATTTACCTGTTAATAAAAGTTGCACTAACGAGTGGTGTTATATTACACCTGCATAGCTAATTCATATTCGTTAAAAGTCATTCCTAAACGTGTTTAACTAAACAACAAACCATTTGGCTTTTAATAAATAGATTTTAGAAATGAAAACTTTCGCGTTATGTTCCATAACTTCTCTTCCGAGTATTTAGGGACTCGTTAAAAATGTAAATGTTGTTAAGTTTCTGGGAAAAATCCACCACCGCATCGCTATAAAAGAAAAACTTCCTCCTAATGAGTGGAGAGGTCTGATTATGATATTAATAAATAAAATAGTATCTATACAGCGCGTAATAGCGACGTTGCGGCAAAATAAAAAGGGATTCCTCTTGGTAAAATAAAAGTAACATTATTTTTCTTAAAGCCATATCTAAGAACTTGGCGACCCTTTAAAGATGAGATGTGAATCATAGTTCTTATTGGAACTCAAGCATTTTTTAAAGTAATTTTTCTTGCTATCTGTTCAATTTTTATCACAGTGTATACTGGGTGGGTATAAATAAATGCGAAAAAGTTAAGGTGATTCCCCGTTGATAATAATTTAAGGCGGTTCATGAAACAAAAGTTATTAATATTTCTTAATATGATTACCACTATTTTGAGTTCCACAAAAAACAGCAAAGTTGCAAAAGTGACAAAGAAGTCCAAGTTTAATGATCAATAAAAAAAGTGAAAAACGACAAATTAAAGGATGCTAAGCAGTTAAATAAAAAGAAAGTAAAGATTTAAGTAAGTGGTAGGTCGATTGATGAGAGTGACATGGAGTTGTTGATGATGACATAGATGGCGAGGAGAGTTATGATGCAGTCTCTTTAGCATTGGCATGTATTTGGCAGATGAACAATGGGTTAAGCGTACAGTCCGTTGCCCATGGATCATGAAGACTGCGATGCAGAAGATGAGGCTTTTCGGTACAAGGAAACAATTTACAACGATTTACTTTATTATTATCTTGCATTTAAGTCATTAATTTACTGAAAATAATGTTATGCGAAATATACAGGGTGTCCCAGAATAGGTGGGCAAGCTTTCGGATTTATACAGGGGACGTTAAAATAACCTGACAAGTTCCTATAAAAATTTTCCCTGGAAGGCTTCGCTATGGGGATGCAGGCCCCTAAAAAACGCCACTGAAAATCGATTTTTTTTTTAATAACTGTAATTTAGTTATTTTAAGGAAAAAAATTAATGTAAATAAAAATGGCATTTTTTAGATAGGCACAGACATAATGCAAATTTCATCGGTTTATTTCTCTTTAAGGATGTAATAAAAAACATATTAAACAAAAATAGTTTTTTTCTCGAACAGTTCATTTTATCGATATCAACCAAGAGTGCGTTTTTTAGTTTAAGGTTCAAGCTACCTAATAATATTATTTTTGTGCCTTTATCGTAAAGGGTTTTAAAAAAATTATATTATTGTTCTACAGCTAGTCCGGTCCTGGCAAACCAAATAAGCCAAATTGTTTTCATGGAGTCTTATCTGTTGTGCAACGTATTAAAAAATTATTAAATTACACATAGTATTTTAAAAGTTATTTAAAAAAAATCGATTTTCAGGGGCGTCCTTTAGGAGCCTGTATCTACGTAAGGGGGGGCTCTAGGGAAAATTTGTAAAGGGATTTGTCATGTTATTTTAATGTCCCCTGTATAAATTCGAGAGTTTGCCCACATATTCTAGGACACCCTGTATATAGACGTTTCAGTTACTATTTGTGTTATTAATTTGAGTAGAAAAATCTTCGTTATTATTTCTTTTCAAATTTAGATTTTTTTAACTACAATACAGGATATTACATAATATAATAATACCTAATAA